TAAGGTTTTGGTCACGTAATTGGGACAATTAATCAGCTTGCTAGAAAATGATTATCATCATCATTATTCACTTTCACCTAGTTTTTTTTGCACCTCATGTAGACAACTCTTCACTCTGTCCATCCCTTTGCCTCTCTCCGTGATTAACATCAGAACTCTGAGTTGTTTTTTGGACCTTTTTTTATGTCTTTCTAAATGATCATCAGCATTATTATGAGCAAGTAATGATGGGGTCTCACTCGGTAAGTCATTAGACTAATCACCATCACCCAGGAATTAATCAGCTTATTCATCATTCATCAAAGTTCTTTAACGTGAATCAAACAATTGATTTCATATTGACGCCTGATCACGGTTTAATGATGTTCACCAATACAACAAATAAAAAATAGCAACACAAAAGCAAATCAGATCAAGCAGATTTGATGGAAGACTTTTTTTTTCATCCATTGCATGGTGAAAAAGCGGAGATTTTTTTCTTTATCTTCACTTATTGAATGTGTGTACCAATCATCGTTTGTGATTGGTATGTGCCTATTGGTTTGGTACACATTGGTACCTGATTCGAAAATTACCCCGACACTTGATCGCAGTTGTCGTGATTCACTACGAGAGACCAATGGGCAAAGTTGTTTCTTTAATTTCACAGTTTCTTGAAGTTACTTACAATTTGTTAGATTGATAGGCTACTTATACCTCGAGAAGGGCTTGAACCGTCTAATTAGGAGTTATGAGCCCCTAAAGTCGACAGATCTTACCACTTACAAGACGTACTGATGTGGCACCATACTGCCATGTAAAAATAGAGGGAAAACTAAGGGAACAACTGTTAATTAAAATGTGAATGAGAGGGACGATGCTTGAGTTGACCCTTTACTAAACAATTAAATTAAACATTTTGTAAGTTTATCAAGGTGAAATTGTAAATGTTTGATTGTACCAATAGAGCTTCATGTAATGGCAATGAAGAGATTATGATCAGATAGGGATTTTAATTGAATTAAGCTGAAGCTAACTGAGCGATTGGAAATTGAATGAATCCCATCGAGTGATTAATAGCACTATTTAGCGCTGATTTATATTTGAATAATACCATGAATTGTGGCTTCTGATCAGCTTACGATTAAATAAAATTGATTTCACCTTAGATAAATAGTTGGCGATCAGGTCTAGCATCTTAATTAAAATGAAATATAAATAAGATTAGTAAAGGATTGATTTAATGATATGAAAACAAAATACTGGAATTATATGTTGAAAACAATGAAATTGAAAAATGATAAAAATCAAGTTACAAGATAATAAACAAAATAAAGTTGAATTAAATAGTTTATGAAATTGAGAATCAAATGCTTTGAGCATAACGTGAGAATGGCAGTGTAAGGTGTGGTAATTTATTGTTGATATCATAATGTGTACAAAAATAATCAACAAAAAAAAGCGAGATGATTAGTTGATGGCTGGATTTGTTGGCTCATTTATTCTGTATTTGGTTTGAATCACTAGTGAACCACTTATCCGCCACTTCGAGTCACTTTCATGATCCTAAAAGATTAATAGAGTTAGATATTGTTAATTTCATTATTGAACATTTTACACTAATAAGCTATCAATGAGTTGGCTGAAGTTTATTCAAATTAATGACTGTTTCTCTAACCAGAATTCAGTGACTTTGAAAGTGATTTGATTTACTTACACTTGGAGCTGTATCGATACTTTCAATGTAACGTTATGCTTTGTGGTTGAACAGTTTAAAGCTAGATCATTGTTATTGTAGGCTGGTTACTCTTGTTGGTCAAGATGACCGTTGACTTATTCAATTTGGCTCTCCTTTGTTCCAGTCTTTTGAATTGTTATCCAATTATTTTTGCATTAATGGGCGATAAGCTGAACGAGTTTATTCTTTCTTTAGTTTTATCCTTGATTTTCAACTGATGGCGATCATATTAAAATAATCAAAAAACCTGTCAGATTGTTTAACATATGAATAGATAGGAAACGGGTTCGGCTTGTGCATTATTACCGAAATGAATGAAAACTAATATCAACAAAAAATAGACTTGATAATGATGAGCATGAAAAGTGAAAAAAGATTAGAGGTTGATTAAAAAGGGTAACAAAAGACATGACCAACAACATAAAAATAAAACAATTGGAGATCCTTTGAGTATTGTTTTTGCACAATTTCAAGCAAATTATTGTTCTGATTAACCAAATTCGAGTACAATTTATAGTTTGATCCATCAAATAACTAAAATCACAAAAATAATGGCACAAAATAACATTTGATTCACCAACAATAGCTTTAAAGCGAGAAATAGCGGGAAGAATATCCCATACTTTTCATCTTCTGATTCCTGAATATTATGAATGGAAAGATCTTCTGCTTTGATATGAACACACATGACATAAATTAAAATTACCTCTTCAAATAAATGTATGAATTTAAAATAATTAGGAACTGGTTGCTTTATTATATCCATCATCTACAGGATCGCTTTGCAGGTTGTGATACCAATTGGTATTGGTCAGAGTTAATTTTTATTATCTCTTTTGGACTATCTTGAGCATATTTAGTTCGTAAAGATAAGAAATCACAATTAAATAGAAAACTGAACAAAATTCGATCTTATTGGTACCTTTATTCATTGATTTAACCCAGACCACCACTGTATTGAATTTTATCGTACTCCTCTGAGACAATCATTAGATCAATTTTTCATGAAACCGAATATAATAGTTGATTTGAAATTTCATTTCTTTAATTTACAATCTAAAGTGATGAGGAAAGCAGCAAAAAGCAAAAGTATTATCATTTGCATACGATTTTCTGACAGATCTTTCTTTTTTTAATCATGTTAAGGTGAGTTCACCAATTAACAAGTTATTTTGATGATGTTGAAAACAGAGTTGATTTTGATAAATAAAATCTTTGTAGACATCAAATCTTAAATTTTTTGACAACTCGCAGAATTCGCTGATCAAGTTTTGTTATTATTAGTATTAATATCATTGTTATTATTATTGTAATTTAAAAGTCAAGATAATAGATTGTCGTCAAGTTGTTATAATTTTGTCTCTAATTCATCATCGATAGGTTCTCGATAAACTTCTCATTGAGGATATGAGTAATTTCATATTGGATGCACTGTGAAAAAGGGGGAAAACGAGAAAAGTAAATTAGTAAATAAAATAAAGATTCATTTTTAAATTTATTTTGTTTTCATCTTAATAACTTACTTTTTTATTGTCTCATAGAATTCCTGCAACTGTAGTGGGGCTGCATCGGGTGTCGTCGGTTGTAGATGAATGGAAACAGCCTGGAGAGTTTTTTCAAGCCATAAACAGGCTCTTGTTTTATCCCAATTTAATAATCTCCATAAGATATCAGCCATATCAGGTATATAAAATGATGGTAATGTGGTTAAAGAACAATTCATTAACGTGTTTGTCAGTTTTTGTCCATAGCAATCATCATTTCCTAAACACGCAGTCAATAACTGTTCAACCTGATCACGAATAATGGGAAGTGCTTTCGGATCTTTACCAGTTTCGATGAGTTCTCCTATAAATTTACAGACAGATGTATTTGCTTCCCGATGATCTAAGGCTAATGAGGCTAAAGATAGTTCAAGAATTTGACCAAGCATAGAGAATGACAGGAAGCGTAAACCATTTTTTTGTAAATATCTGTCAAAGAAAAAAGATACATGTTAGGAATTGAAATAAATCCATGGAAAAATTGAAAATCAAAGTTAAAGCAAATAAATACCTTGTACAGAGTCTAAAAAAGTCATCAATGGTTTCAGGGTGATTTCTCAATTCAACACGCTGACCGCTGAGGAGAGCAAAAGTAGGTCTCCAAAAATGAGTTAACATTTCTAATAATCCATTGTCAATTTTTTCCCTGTCTGCATCTGTTAAAGATAAGTCTCCGGTATCACCAAATTCATCGACCAAAATAGATGCTAAGTATAGGTAACATGAGTGCTGAGGAAATTGAGAGTAAAGGTTGACAATGCATTCAGCAACCGGGATTAATAAATGGATTGGTTTTAAACAACGAATCACATATCGAAGACATCTGCAAGCTTTTTCAACTGTACGAGAATCGCTTGTGCTTGAGGTGTGTTTGAGAACGGCATCAATTAATTTCCATAATTCCATTACCCTAATATCTAGAGGAGATTCATTAGGTGTTAGATTAGGTATCCTCGGTTTAAGGCGTAGACATCGGAAGATGGAAGAAATACGATCCATGTAAATAACAGGATCTGCTTTGCCAGCCTCAAGTGTTCCGCTGACAATTCGACTTAGACATCCAACACTGGGTTCTAAGAGTTTAACAACCACAATCTCTTGGTCGATTCGACTTTTATTTTCAGTAGATTGGCTAACTACGGTTGAGCAACATTGAAGCAAATTATGGACAGCGGCTTCATTGAGAACATCCGATTGAATACAAATACGCATCAGTAATTCGATGATGGTATCATTACCGATGAGATGTCGCGCAGCGCAACAGCTAATTATTTGATTTAATGCTGAAGCTGCAATGGATGAAAGGCTTACGCTGGACTCTGATGTAGATGGTGATTTAGACATTTCAACCATTGATTTATCTTGGGAATTGTTGGTGGTAACCAAAGGTAAGAGGTAGTCAAGAACATGATTAAATAAAATTGTTGGCTGATTTTCAAACCAATCACTTAATTCACCTAATATGTTACAGCATGTAGCAAATATTTGAGGATGTAGGGTTCGTACTTGTACACCAGTATTAGGGTTAAATTGACATTGGCGGGTGAATAAAATAAGGTTGACTACATCAGTAACCAGGGCTGAGTCATCATAGATATCTTTTATAAGACAAAGAATCATGAAAAGATAAGCCTCGTCTTGCTCCCATGAAATTTGATCTTTGCTCATTTGACCAAAGGAAGTTTTCAGGCTGGTGACGATGTTGTTATGGCGAATATAAGTGGAAGCACCCACAATGACAATCACCTTTTTGACTAAATCTTTGACTCGAATACGAAACTCTTGAAGGTCCGATTGTGGAGTTAATAAATGTTCTTGATCAGTATCTAGTTGACAGTGAATTGTTAAACCATCTAAAAGTTTAATTACATGTTGACTGTAAGTTTGGGCCACATGATTGTTTCGTTTACAGATGAGTTCGGCAAAACGGTACCAAAATTGGAAAGTAATTTCAGCCACTTCAAAATCATAATGATCAACACATCTAAGTAAAAGACTAACTAGATCAAGTCCCGAGACGGGTGAATTGACAGGTATTTGTCCATCTCCTATGATTAGTGGGTTGACAACTGATTCCGCCATTTCAGTGAAAATACGGCTGAAATTAACTGATTTATCTATGTCTTCATTATTGACAGAATGTTGATAAACACCTTCTAATTGGTAAATCTGAATCAACAAATAATGAGTTAAATGATGATATTTGTCATATTCCTCACAAAGAAGAGCAGCACTACAAATTGTATCAGCTGCAGCGTCATGAATTGTATCTGGGGTATTTGGATCTTGAAGTGAACTGAAAATCGCAGTTAATAAGGGTTCAATGCAATTAATATCACTAGCATCGATAATAGTTAACCAGGCTCCTAAGCATCGATAAATTTTGGCGAACAATTTTTCAGCAATTTGTTGTTTTGATTCAGGCTCTTCTGCTGTATCTTTGGTGAGTTGACACTTGATTTCTCTCATAGTATTGTATAGAAAGGTTACCATTTTTGGGCCGATACTGGTTAGGTACTTAAGCATCACAGTTCTTCGGTTACCTCCAACACTTTTCAAATTAGGGTTTCTAGATTGATTAAGCTCTTCTGGTAGTAAAGTCAAAATCTCGACAACCACATAATAGTCAAGGCCACTGGCAACTATTTCCTCGACAGGATTAGTCCAAGAAACATCTAAATTTTCCAGGAGAAAACATAATAGACATTGGATAAATGCAATAAAAAGCCGAATAGGAGACTCGAATGGTAAAAATTGAATACTTACCTAAGATGGCTAAATAAGTAATACATAGTGATAATTGTGTTTGAATAACTTTAACATTGATTTCTTTACAATGGTTAATTATTGAATTTCGCAGAGATGTGTATGAGTCTGGAGGAAGTTCAGAGAAGCTATTCTGAAGCTTCATTCGCAAAGTTTGAGCAGCAAAGTAACATGTTTCAACATCACTTCTTCTGATTAGCAGTTGGTCAGCTATTTCCCAAGCGTAGACGCTCTTTTGTATACTTTCGAGCCATTTTCCAGCCATCTCTTTAGCTTCTTTATCCGTACAAGCCTCATTTCGATAGAATCTACTCACAGCCTCTAATACTTGATCAAGGCTTGGTGGTGAGGACAATTCAAGAGACATTATATGACGGAGAAAATAAAAATGATTTTAGAGGGTAGATCTTTTTTTTATATTACAACCTGAATGCTGATGTCGGCTCTTTGCTTGAAAACAGATTTAAACACAATTCAAAAAAGACCAAAAAAGGATAAATATTAAGATAAATTAAATGATTAAATGTTGGCATTCAAATAGAACTTTGATAAAATTAATTATAAAGAGAAGCAAAAAATATAAATTTACAATTAAACAGAATTACAGACACCAATTGAGACAACCTGGTTTCAGATGATGTCAAGCACATCAGTTTATTAAAGATAAGCGCATCTTTTAGACAGTCGTTTCTATAACGCACACCTTTACTTGGAAACAACAGTTATTTTTAAAATTTAAATTTTAATCAATTGTGAATAAGCTACAAACAGTTTAATCAAATTATTTGCTGCAGAAATAAATCCTTTTTAAGGCTTTTTCTTAAAATGATCAGCATTTCATTCTGGCTCATTAACAATTAAATTTATTTTCCTTTTTAAAGACAAGCAATCCGTTTCTTTTGCTTAAACTGTCATTCTTTAATTTAACAATATTTGGACTTTTCTGATTGCGGTTCAACTTGATTTTAATTTTTAAATTAAAGATTAGAGTTGATTTTCATTATTACCTCAGTAAATTGTAAAAAAACTTGCCGAATCAATAATAGAATAGTGTGACTATTAGTCTAATACAGCTAAAAGCTGCATTTGTCTTTAAACATCGGGATCTTTGACATCATCTGAAAACCCTACTTTCTTTTTCCAATTGTGTATAAACTCTTGTCTTTTTTAGACACACATAGTTAGGGATTTAATTGATTGTGCCAGCTTCTTCTGATTCAATTAATCATTCTTATTAGTTTCTTGTTTTCCTTTTTTTAGATTTGTGTTAATCCAATATCTTTATAAAATGAGTAATCATCATATTAGGTTAAGATCGGTAACTATTGTCTTAACCATTCTTTTAACCATTATCAACCAAACCCAAAGTGATGAACATGACCATAAGGTTTGTTTTACAATTTTATTACTACAATTCAACAGTTTGTTAAATTGTCTGATTTATACTGATGGATTCACATGTTTCCAGTTGTATATATTCTTATTGTTATCACCATTTTTTCTTGAAAATTTACTTGTTATGTTTGCATCTTTCACTCATCTGATTTTTTTTTCTCCAACTCACTCTTTTTCCATCTATTCATAATCTTAATCATTGCTATCAACATCGACACCTCCGGTACTATCTATATTACCATACATTTCATAAATTATTACCAATTGTGCAAAATAATCTCCTATTCATAGTATGAAGATAATGATGAAGTTGTTCTGTGGATGAACACTGTTGGTCCATATCCGAATAGACAAGAAACTTATACCTATTTTTCTTTGCCGTTCTGTCCTGGTCCCAAAAAAACAATTTCCCATTACCATGAAACCTTGGCGGAGGCCCTTCAAGGTGTTGAACTTGTATTTAGTGGACTTGATATTGATTTCAAAGGTAAATAAAATTTTGAATAAAATTAAATTTATTGAAATTGTTAGAATATGATCATATTATTGAGTGACGTGTTCTAATTCAAACAAATGTTTATCATTTATATTTGAGCTTTTACCTTCAGGATCATTCTTTCAATATATTAAATACTTCTTTGGTAGTAACAATGCTAAATACTTGTATTATTTTCCCTTAAAAGTCCAGTTTTTCTATCGTATATTTTAAACTAATCCTTTTGCTTTTTTGATTTCCACAGCCAACGTTGCCAAGACTCCTTACTGCCATGTAACTCTGAGCGAGGAAAAGTTGCAAGCATTTATTTATGCAGTCAAAAATTATTATTGGTATGAAATGTACATAGATGGATTACCAATTTGGGGAGTAGTTGGTGAACACGATGAGACAGATAATAGTTATTACCTGTATACTCACAAGAAATTTGATATTGGTTACAATGGTAACCAAATTGTTGATGTTAATCTGACCACCGATGGAAAAGCAAAACTTGAACTAGGAACCAAGCTTGAATTCACTTATGAAGTCAACTGGAAAAAATCATCTATTAAGTTTGAGCATCGATTCGATAAATATTTGGACGCTAGTTTCTTCCAACATCGAATTCACTGGTTTTCCATATTCAATTCTTTCATGATGGTTATATTTTTAGTTGGTTTGGTTTCCATGATTCTTATGCGAACATTGAGAAAAGATTACGCTAGATACAGTAAAGATGAAGATATCGATGATATGGAAAGAGATCTCGGCGATGAATATGGTTGGAAACAAGTTCATGGTGATGTTTTCAGAAACCCATCTTATCCAATGATGTTATCCATTTTGATTGGAACTGGCTATCAGATTGCTTCTGTAACTTTCATTGTAACCATATTTGCCATCATGGGTGAACTTTACACCGAAAGAGGTTCCCTTTTGTCCACAGCTATGTTCGTTTATGCAGCTACCTCTCCTATCAACGGTTACTTTGGTGGTTCACTGTATGCTCAATATGGTGGTCGAAACTGGATTAAGCAAATGTTCCTTTCAGCATTCTTTCATCCTTCAATAATCTGCGGTACAGCTTTCTTAATAAACTTCATCGCTATTTATTATCACGCTTCTCGTGCTATTCCTTTTGGCTCAATGGTAGCGGTCACTTGTATCTGTCTTTTCGTTATCCTTCCTCTTACTCTCATCGGAACTGTTTTGGGCCGCAATCTATCTGGTCAGTCAAATTATCCATGTCGTGTAAATGCTGTTCCTCGACCAATACCTGAAAAGAAATGGTTTATGGAGCCAGAAATGATTGTTCTACTTGGAGGAATTCTTCCTTTCGGTTCTATTTTTATTGAAATGTACTTCATTTTTACTTCCTTCTGGGCATACAAAATCTACTATGTATATGGTTTCATGCTTTTGGTATTCCTCATCTTATCTGTGGTCACTGTTTGTGTAACAATCGTTTGCACCTATTTCCTTCTCAATGCTGAAGATTATCGATGGTAAATATTTAGTCTACATTCATAATTTTTTTCTATTTTTACCCTAGTTTAGTTGAGATCGTCATCCTATTGTTGTCACTTCAACAACATTCGTTGACAGCTCTTCAACTGAACCTTTAGCAGATTACACTTCTGCCGTTTGATGCGAAATTTCGCTTTCTATTTGATTCATCAAACTTATTTAATTATTTACTTTCTTTTTTCAACTTTAATTAGGCAATGGACGAGCTTCATGGCTGGAGCATCAACTGCTGGCTACGTTTATTTATATTCAATTTATTATTTCTTCTTTAAAACTAAAATGTATGGTCTTTATCAAACAGTCTTCTATTTTGGCCATATGGCACTATTTTGTCTTGCCTTAGGATTAATGTGTGGTATGTATTTGATGTCTTAACGAATCTCGTATTATTAACATATCTCTTGCAATCGATCAAAATTAGATTTTCTCATCTTAGTCTTCAATACCTAAGTCTATTAGTCTCAAAATAATAAGATGTTGTGTTGCTTGAATTTTACACATTTGTATATAAAAATGCATATGAATCTTATTTTTTATGAGTTATAGCGTAAATTATCTACTTTTATCGATACTCATATAATTAGTGCTATAAATCTATTTGCTAACATTCATGCTTTTTTTCAATTTTAGGTACATTCGGATACCTTGGAACATCAGCTTTTGTGAGAAAAATCTATTCCACTGTAAAAATTGATTAAACCATATCATTGCCTTCAATGAATAAAAGCTTTAAGGCAAATAAATAGATATGCTAATTGCCATTTAATCAACAAGAACAACTACAACATAAAGATTCACAATACCACCTAAAATTGGATAAATAAGGAGCGACCCGAAGAACATTTCGATTCATCTATCATTATATTTCTAATTAACATCATCATTTCTGTTCTGTACCTTTATATCATTGTCACTTTTCATTTTGCAATCGACTTTGGGCATGTAAATCGATAAAGATGAAAAACACTTCAACAGTTGTTTTCCTGTCACCCAGCTTTGGACGTTTTCTTACCTGTTTTTCAGATCTATGTTGTAACATCGAGTAAATTTCTTAAAAAAACGAAGGAAAATTGTAAAAATTGATCAAAGCCGAAGGGGATAATTATACCTGAAAAGATGAACCTATTTATTCATGTAAACATCAACAATAACAAGCAACTATCACGTTCAAAAAAGCCATATTCAACTTTAAATCAAACATTCATTCATAAAGAAAACAAAACTTCCCGTGGACGCGTAAGCGCTAGATTTTTTTGCTATTCCCATCGCCGATGGATTTATTGTAATTGTAAATATAACATTATTACTATGGAAATTGGCAACAATATGAAAATACCGAAACCAATACCAGGTTTCTTAATTTATGATTTAATATGGAAGGCAGAAATTAACACTGAGTATTTAATTGTCAAACTGAACAAAAATGATACAAGAAACCATTGATCAGTGAATCAACATCAGTAAATTCACCAAAATCTATCTTAAAATGAACTGTATTGTAAGAAACAAAGAGATAAATGTTGAATAAATGAAATTATTGATGATTTGGTTAACAAAAAAGCTGTGTAACATACTATCAATAGTTTTCAGCAACAATGGTTAACATTTTACTCAGTCAACAATTGGAAGCAATTTCACTGATTGATGCACATCTAAACGAGTGTCAGTAGAACATTCAGAATATGAAAAAAATCAGATACAATTCCTTTATCATCTGATCAATCATTTAATTACACCATTACAACTAATATGTTGATCCACAGTTTTTTCACAATGTTAGGTGAAAGTAAGTTAACATGGAGATTGCTCTATAAACTCAGGCAACTTTTTTTCTCGACTAACTCTTCTCATTTTTTGTTCATTTGTAACCCAAACCTACAGACAGCAACATTGAATGTAAGCTAATCTTTTTTTTCCTCATGAACATTATTCACCTGCTATTGTTGATATAACTCAGTTTGATTTGATTGTGATTACCATAAGTATAAAACATGAAAAATACTGTTGACAATCGTGAAAGTAATAGTTACTGTTTTCCCTGTCATCTGAAGGGATCACATTGTGCAAGTGTAACACCATAACCAACAACCGCATCAACTTTTACACTTAATTATTGATTATACATCTCCATCAAACTCTGATTTTAACAGTGACATGATAATAGGTTAAATTTGATTAATCTATCTTCTATTCTCAATTGGATTGCTCAAGTGTCACATATATTAATGATTGTGTCCATTTTTGATTTTTGACTCAATTTTTACAATACACTTTGAGGCTCTTTTTTAGATCATCAGTACAAAATGCAGAGAAACTGTATCAACGTCGATGGCGATGATATAGTAGTAAAATATTATCCAGGTAAGTTACAATTACTATCCAAACCCAAACAATTGAAAAAGTGAACCCAAATGATGAAAAGATTACCAGAAAATATAACCTTTGTTTGCTTGTAAACCCATTGAGAAGCAAAAGCAACCATCTTTTCAACTTGTAACATAATCATTGAAAAAGCCAATTAATGAGACAATTTCACCATTATTGTAATCAAATCACCTGAAATTCATTAGAAGAAAGATTAAATTAACTACTAATTGTGACAGATCATTAAGGGATAATTAAAACATTTACTTAACTGAAAATGTAACCCATTAGGGTTTTCAGGGAATAATAAAGAAAGCTAATTTTTGGTATGAAAAAACATGCCAACACTTTGACATTTGTTAATAAAATGTTTCCAATACATTAATTTATTTATTATTATTATCATGAAATTAGGTGTGTTTAGGTAAATGTAAAACCATTAAGATATGATATAAATGGTGGATAATTATCATTAAAAATTAATTATTGCTTATATTGAACAGACAAAAAGCTAAAAATAATTGTTAGGTGAATGTTGCTTTTGGTAAATGTACGTTGACTGGTTAAGCTATTTTCATGATGTTTTCTTGGATAAATTTAAAGTAAATTCTGGTAAATCAATAGTTCCAAATTATATTCACCATTAGATTGTAATTTTGTTATTGTAAATCACGTAAATATCATCTTACAGTAAGGTAAAATTGGCTTTAAAAATGGTTAAATGTTGTTACTAGCCTTTAACACACTATTACAAGCAACAACTTAACCAATCCCTTTTATGGTCCTTTAATGGTCAATATTTTGTCTTGCCAGACAATTTCATTTCAAATAAATTTAACCATCATTCAGATGATCATGTAACAAGGTTAAATGACCATAATCCTCGTTCTGATCATGTTAATGTTGTAAATTAACTTTGATTCTGTCAACAATTTCCTTCAAAGCAAACTCTGCTTATTCAGTTCTGTCATCCTTTTTGCCATTCACCAGTTTTAATTTACTTTAAATTGTTGACTCTGTTGATTACTGTCAGTCAATTATCATGGACAAACATTGAATTGTATCTTGACCATTCAGTCCAATCTCACATTTACATGAGAAACCCTTTTGAAAGTCAACAATTTGATTAACCTTTAACACCTTTTCCAAGATATTAAATTAAATGTAAAAATCTTTCCTTTTATCCATTTTTTCCTGCCTTTCATGATCAATCCTTTCAACACATTACTTGGAAAGTCTGATTAATTGTTAATCTTAATTGTACATCTAACAAATCCAAAGATAACATGATAAATGGTTCTCAGTTCGTTTACATGTCAAACAATATAATATTGAAGATGCAATCAATGAACTCTTCATCCTCATCTTAATGGTGTTCATTTATATTGAATCAAGATAAATTAAGTAACATTAAGACCAACTTAGATGCACTTCATTCAATGACCATTGATATTATCACTTTTTTTTGTTTCAACTCGACCCATCACCAAATAGCCATTAAACCATCTCAACAGAAACAAAAGATTGATTCACAAAATTTTCAACTGTAAATGAATGTAAAATAATATCATTAAGATGCATGAAAAGATCTGAAAATATTGTACATTAACTGATGATAAAGTGAAGATGAAATGAAAAATAGGGAAAATCATTTATCTCTTTGAACCAGATTTTGACTGGTTTGCTAACCCAAACCTTAAAGTCAACCCATTTTTGCTTCCAGTCTTAGGATAATTTATTTGGACGCAAATGTACAATATGATTGAATGAACATTTACAGATCAAATTACTTCAGAATCAGGTTAATTAACTGTTCATTTTGTGCCCAACAAAACGCATCTTATTTCAATGGATATCTTGATACCAGTAAACTTATTAACGATTAACTTGATTATAACAATTGATCATTTTTCATGTTTCTCTTGGTTCAGCTTTTGCCTGTTGTTTAGTGATTACATTTTAGCCCTCCGAAGCAACCAATTTGAATTATGGTTAATTTATTCACCATTTAATTAATTAAATTATGATCATACAAAGAAAGAATGAAAGGTTAATCTAAATTGTTGCCTGTGAATTGTTTTAATCAGCGACTCGACAATTAATTAAAGATAGGCAATCTTTCAATATACAATGACATTCAATTTGTCAAAAGTGAATGAAGCTTTTTGTATCTCAAAACAATTGCTTTCAATTAACTTTTAATTATTTTCCTACCAATAACAACAAAAAGTGAATCAACCAAAACACAACCCAAATTTGGTGATTAAAAAGTTAAAGGTTATTTTAACAATAAAAATCAATTTCATTTTAATTGAAAAATTAGCAAATTAATTGCCAACATTGGGCCTCCAATTTAAACCCAAACCCATTCAAGAACCCAATATTAGGTTGTCTAAAATGGACAGCACTTTTTCATTTTGCTCAAGTTATCTGAAATGCTTTTACAAATTAACTTGAAATTGAAATTTACATTCCAAAAGATTGAAACATGAGACCAGGAATGATATAATCACCAAGGAATTCATCAAAATTGATTTATTTCAAGTCTGATACCAAACAATCTTAAAATGATCATTTCCATTGGATTTTTCATAGACTTTACTTTACCTAAAAATTAACTCAGAACTTTATTTTTGTTCAGATTTTTAGCTTTTCTTTCAAAATGCTTTTTCATGCTTTTCGTTTATTTTCAGGCATTTTGTGAAACTTATTCATCGAACTAAACCTCTGGACGATTCTGGTTTTAGCACTTTTTTGGTAGAAGAAGAGCTTCGAATTTGGATTTTTCATTTTTCTTTCCATCGTTAATAGAGAATTGAGATTTCTTTGAAACAGTCTCAGCATTTGGAGAAGAATGAATGAAAATTTTCAGTTTTCAGAAATTCCAATCTGAGTTTCTTCCATTTACAGATTTTTTTGGAGAAGTATTTTTAAAGTTCCGCTTTGAACAGATTTCTGAAGCATGAAAACGACTTTTAAAACTCTTATATTAATGAATATTTTCCATGAAAAGAAAGTTGTAAAAAAGCTGAAACAGCCCTTCAGGGATTCAAGGATTCTAATTTAGATACTGAACAACTCATGAAGGAATTTAAAATTTGGATTTTGCTTGTTAAATCAACTTGACTTTATATTAAAGGATTGATTGGGATTTATTGTGCACAAATTTTGCATTTTTTTCATTATTATTTGCCTCTTAAACTTGAGATTTAATGGATTGACAGGGATTTGTTTAATCAACACAATTAACACGTAATGGTTATCGTCTGAGCATTGTTGAATGACAATAATGGAAATTGTCTGATCTCTTTGAATAACAAACAAATTGAAAAATACTTGAAGATGAGGTTATATGATAGTGAACAATGATGATGATTTGAATTGCTCTTGAAATATGTTGACATGAAAATGATGCCAATGAAGGGTTCGTCAATATAATTTAACAGATAAACAAAAGATGAGCATCATGATGATCCCATGTAATATATGTGATAATGTGTTAGTGATAATAAATGATGAAAAATAGAGGTAGAAACTGGAAAAGCTAAAATTGATTCAAACAAAGTAGACAACAGAATCCATAATGGATGAAAATGGGAAACACAATTTTGCCAGAAGAAGCAATCTAACAACAGAAATGAGCATTTTCACTCTTTTTTTTCATGAAAGTCAGTTGAAAGTGAACCAATTGATAAAAGTGGGTGAACACAAGCAAAAAAAGTACAGTTAATCAAATAGATGAAAGAAATGAGAGAAACAAGAAGATGATAAAGATGATGGAGATGATGAACGACGAGCAAGCAAGAGTAATTGTGTATTTAATTAAAGTGACAAATGACAATAATATAATGTTTTTTTAGGCACAAAAAAGGAGCAAAATTGTTGATTTATCAGTTTTCTGGTAACAACTTAGGCCTCAGTCTAATAAGCTTACAATTTGTCTTCAACAATTAACTGCTTTGAATAGATTTATAAGCAAATAATAAACTAATGTTGAACAATTTATTAAATGAATCACTTGCTGTTAACTGTTCATGGCAATTGTGTGTTCCTTCAATGACAACCTTTCACCTTTTTATTGTTGCTTTTGTTTATTTGAAAATGGTTGAGGCTTTAAAAAAGATGGCAAAACTGGTTAACTGGTTAACTGGTTATTATCAATATTATTATGTTAGCTGGTCAAGTAACCAGTGAATGTTGTAATATAATGGTAATAGTGATAATAATGGTCACTGGAAAATAATAATATTATTAATATTAACCTTCACAAGTGAATAACGTTGCTTGACAAATGATGAAAAGCTCACAAATAAGTCTCTTAAGGGTTTAACTGAGCTGGACAAATGGCTTGACTCAGCATTCCCAGTCTTTTTGGTCAACATCTAGGATATTATTAACATGAACAGTTAAAGATGAAATTTACTCTTGTCCATATCAAGACATTCCGAAGGGACTCTTCTCATTTTTACCATTTTTGTCCTTTTCATCTTTTCCTTCACCAGTTGATGAGCGTGAAAATTGCCACTTCAGTGGTATTTATCAATTGAATCAATGAATAAAATAACAAATATTTCCTTGTTATTGCTCAAAAGGCAATTTTGAAAGCATCTTAGCTTTAAAATTTCCCAAGAAAAGCTTCTGTTTCAATGAAATGATCAGAAAACTGAATTTCAAGAAAAATTGTATTTAACCTTTTCTGGTCTCAACCCAAATAAAATCTTGAAAAACGCTTATATTAATAATTTCCATTTTTGTTCATCCAGATTCAGAATAAAATTCTGGTTTTTCTTAAAAATTTTACCCATTTTTTAACCCAAAAATCTTAGAGATGAAAATTGTTGCTTCAATTGAATTGTAATGTTTTGCTCACAATTTTTCGTATAAGTTCATCTGAAATATTTAAACATTGAGTTCAATTTATTTCCGGCAACTGCGAACATATTAATTCACGAAATTGACATTTCAATCATTTCATGGAACGTGATAAATGGTTGATT